ATAACTAAATAAACGGGAAAACATTAAAATATGTAACAATTTATTTAATTTTTATTTTTGGCTTACACGCATGTGCAAGTATAATTTTTTTATAGACATAATTAGTTATAATATTTGAGTATTGATTATTTTAGTTATACATTATGTAAATTTTATGTTTTTATACATAGACAATTTTAGTGTTCAACAACAATCACACAAACGTTTCTGTTCGGGAGAAAATTTCAGGATGCCACGTGGGAGTGTGTGATTCATCCAGGGAATGAAGTTGTGCCTCCGAGTTTTGTCCTCTGGGGGGAAAGGCGACGAGTCGTACTGGGACGGAAGCCTGCTTGAGTCCTGGTAATGGGGTGGTCGTCGTATGCGATCCTGCAAACACTACACAAGAGGTCAATCGGGCCTCCGGGAAGACCTAAAGTGGGTTTCGTTCCCAAAGGTTCTCCGACGCCCAAGTCAATGAACGTCCTACCGGGAACAGATAATCAGGAGGGTGTTTCTAGGGGTTTGGGGTGAGAAGTCCCGTCCGGGTACCTCCTCTTTGAAAGAGGTTTTAGATCCACCGAGCCGATCTCCTTCTGGTGTGGTGATCTCTCTCTTTTTATACTGGCATCCTCCTTGTCATGTCTTCTACATTCGGCGCGACAGGGAAGCAGGTAGGCTGATGATTCTTGCGTGTACGCAGGAGTGGTTTGGCCGAGCTAGCATGGTGTGTATCAGTGTTTAGAGTAGTTTAATGTCCGCGTGTCGGGTCTTTTTTGGATCTGGTAAAATCTGTCCCAACAGTTTCATATCGTTTTGTGTTTTTTGAAAACTTTTTATTTTTCTTAGCGTTTACAGTAACATATAATTGTAAATGTAAAAGTTATATTAAATAATAATTTAATTCTTATAATATGTTTTAAATATTATCTATATAATACTTTTTTCTCTTTACATAATATAATATTGCCAATATATATATTTTAAGTATATGTTTTTCTTTGACCTAGTACCAATTAAACCAAAATGAATTTTACCATATTTATTTGTCCTAAAAGTGGTGAGGTAGTTGTTAAAAATTTTTTAAAAATATATATTGTCTAACAACTAAAATTAAAATTATAGTGTGATCGAGGTTAACAAAATGTATGCACGACAAGTTTGCATGCGTTTGACTTTTGCACAATTAATATTTATATCTACATGCATATTTGTAAGAAAATCGAGTATGATTTTTATGTGTTAAAAAGAAAATAACAAAGTATATGTTTTGTAATATATATTTTTATAATGTATGGTTGGTTTTTTTAAAATAAAAATAATAAGTATATTTATACATGTATGTATGAGTTAGAGATAAATGAATTGTAATATTTAGATGTTGATAAGTTTTTTCTGGTATTTTCCGCAAACGTTATGTTTTTACACAATGCAGTTATTGGCGTTTAACAACAATCACAAAAATCATTTCTATCGTTTTGTATTTAATCAAAGTTTCTTATTTTTCAGTGTTTGATGATATATGGTTTCTCAATAAAATTATAACAAAAGTTTATTATAAAATTTGTGAATTCATATTTTATAAAATTCTCCGGTAGCTCTCCGCTCATTTCTTTGTCAAATTTTTTATAATAGGCAATCGCTCGCTTACACAAGTTCTCTGTAACCGAATCGTTTAAACCAATCAGATCTAAACTAATATGTGTATGATTTAAGGTGCAAAATACTATATTTAATAATTAATTGTTATTAAAAATTAAAAGTTTATTGGCTCCTATCTTTATTATATTTGTTAATGTAAAATATAATAGATTACAACATATTCATGAAATAATGTTTTAATATGTTAGAAAAAATATATGCGAAGATAATATTTTAAAATTATTCTGATTTATTTTTTGTATTCTTTGACTCGTACTTTTGCTTAACATTTAATAATATATTAAACATTAAGATCATATCCAAAGTATTTTTATATTTTTTTCTCTAACATATAAGTGGACTTCTCTCTAACCTATTTCTATTTTACAGGAAAAAGAATGGTTGTTATGTTTTTCTCCAATTAATTAGAAGATTTAAAATAAAGGTGGGTTGGAGATGCTTTAAACCAAAAATATAACCTGAGATTTTTATAAAAAACCAAAGTCGTAAAAATTCACTTTTATTTTTACTTCTACTTTTTATTCATATATACAATATGATAATAAAAAAAAGCTAGCTAAGAGGATATTTAAAATTGATTATTCTATATGTTTATTTTTTTGTTTCATTTATAATTTTTAATTCTTGCTATATAATGAGAATTTATTTATATACGATATAAACTATTTTTTCTTACTTAAAAATAAAATTTATTTAGTTTTAACTTAACCAGTCAAAATATTTCGTTTATTTTAAAATTTGTCATGTCACATTTATGAGGTGCCATTTTTTGCACTAATTTTTCTTAAGGTGTTGACACATAGGATTTTTTTTAGTAAACCTGCTTCACAAATAATAGTTAGGATGATGTAAAAGTTAATTTAAACCAGTAAATATAGTGATCAAATTTTAAGTTAAAATGATTATAATATATATATGATTCAATTAATTAAATTTTACAACATATAATAATAATTTTAATTTAAAAGTTTGAATATAAATACAGAAATAAATATAATTAAAATTATTTATTTTGATTTTCAAATTATTGTTTACAAATTTCAAAACAATTTTTAAACTTGTATTTATAATAAAATAGAGGAAGTATTATTATATCCCATGCATGGGTTTTTTAAAAAGCAAAACCCTTAAAATCCTCTGAATCGACATTCTTGAAAAGACTGACAAAAAAAATCCATCTATCTTCTACTCCCTCCATTTCAAAATAAGTCTCATTTTAAGGTTTTATTTTTGTTTCACAAAAAATGTCACTTTACATTTTCAATGCATAATTTTAAATAAATATCCAATTTTAACATTTTACTTTTATTGTTTTAATTAGAAAGAAAATATTATTTTGTGTGTGAACAAAGGGTAAAACAGAACTTTTAATGGGTTTCTTAATTTGTGTGAAAAAATGCCAAATGACACTTATTTTGAATATTAGGCTGCAACTGGAATGCATTTTTGTGGAATAGATTTTTGGAACATTTCACATATTCTATTTTTTGAATGGAAAAGAAAAGCAAATCTTTTTAAAAATTTATTCCTTTTATTACATCTTCTAAATCTAGAGGAATAAAAAGAATGAATGGAATTCTCTATTACACTAACAATTCAGTTTTTCATTTCATATTATCTATCATTCTATTCTTTTCCATTCCCCTTTATTTATCACTAGGTGAATGGCTGCACACGGTGCAGACTATAAAATATTTTATATGTTCAATTATGATTAATATAATATTAAAGATGTTTTATTTGTATATGATTAATTATGTATTAATAATAAAATAATAAATATTTAATAATAAAAAGTAATAATAAGTTAAATATAAAATATTACATATTTCAATAGAAAATAAAGATAAAACAAATATTAACTAAGATTGTTAAATATTTCTTCGGATAAAAAATATAAACATGATAACAAATAAACAGAAAATATTAAAATATATAATAATTTATTTAATTTTTATTTTTAGCCCGCACGCATGTGCAAGTAAAATTTTTTATAGACATAATTACTTGTAATATTTAAGTATTGATTAATTTTCTTATACATTATGTAAATATTATGTTTTTATACATATACAATTTTAGTGTTCAACAACAATCACACAAACGTTTCATATTGTTTTGTGTCTTTTGAAAAGTTTTTATTTTTTTTAGCATTTACACTAACATATAATTGCAAATTTAAAAGTAATATTAAATAATAATTAAATTCTTATAATATGTTTTCAATATTATTTATATAATACTTTCTTTTTTTCTATGCTTAGTATAATCTTGGCAATATATTTTTTTGCATTTAACCACAAAGAAGAGCTTTTGCATTTTTACTCTTTCATATCTTTAAATAGTATTGAATGAGAGAGAAGTTTAAAATATCAGGCAATCCCGTCATATATTTAGTCTCACCTAGATATGTATCCAAGCGAAATAATTGTTTCTTTAACACAGTTGCATCTCTTTACAGAAGTATATTTTAAATATGCATTTTTCCGTAACCTATTGCTAATTAAACCAAAATAAAATTTGATATATCTATTTATCCTAAGAGCGTATAAAGATTTTTAAAAAAATATAAATTTTTTAACAACTAAAATTAAAAATAGAGTGTAATCGAGGTTAACAAAATGTATGCACGACAAGTTTGCATGCAAGTTTAGGTTTTGCACGATTGATATTTATGTCTACATGCATTTTTGTAAGAAAATCAAAGTATGGTTTTTATGTGTTAAAAGAAAATAACAAAGTATATATTTTCTAATATATATTTTTATATGTATGGTTGATTTTTTTAAATAATAAATATATTTATAAATATAGGTATGAGTTAGAAATAAGTGAATTGTAATATTTAGGTGTTGGTAAGTTTTTCTGGTATTTTCCGCAAATGTTATGTTTTTACACGTGCAGTTATTGGCGTTTAATAACAATCAAGAAAACTATTTCTATCGTTTTGTATTTAATCAAAGTTTCTTATTTTTCAGCGTTTGATGATATATAGTTTCTCGATAAAAATATATTATAAAATTTGTGTTTCTAAGGGTTTGGGATGTGAACTCATATTTTATAAAATTTTCTGTTAGCTCTCCGCTCATCTATTCGTCAAATTGTTTATGATCCGCAATCGCTCGCTTTCACAAACTCTTTATAATTGAATCATTTAAACTAATCTGATCTAAATTTACATATATATATATAATTTAAGGTGTAAGTTAATATATTTAATATTTAATTGTTATTAAAAATTAAGAATTAATTTATTTCTAATTTTAATATATTTATTAATATAAAATAAAATATACAAAACTTGATTCATCAAATAATGCTTCTGAAATAATAGGATATCTAGTTTGGTTCAGTTACTTGCGATTATCTAAAACCGGTATAGGCAAGCTTAACCAGTGAGTTATACTTCATTACTCTCTCTTACCGTTCTGAAACAATAATCTCTTCTTCAATCTCTCTTTTTCTCTCTATCATCTTTCATCACCATCACCAAATCACAATCCTTCTGTCATATCATCATTTTGCTCTTTTTCACAGATTCCCTCCCGCGAAACGAATTCTCCATCTTTAAGGTTTGGTTTCCCCCTCTACACTGTTGGTTTTTCTCTTTCGCTTTCAATTTTTTTCTTTTTTGTAAAATTTCTGTCTTTTCCCCTAAAAAAAAATTCAATTTTTTTCATCTGATTCAATTTTTTGCCCTGACGGTTCTTGTCTCCGCAATCTAACATTTATGAGATTTGGGAAAGTTGAAAGGTTTTGATTGATAAGTTCAAAAGGGTTTTTCTTTGTGTTAGAATATGAGTTTGTCGTATAAATTGTAGCGAAAGTTCTCTTTTCTTGACACTGATATTCAATTTCGAATCTAGTTCTTACTCCAAGTTCATCACTTTTGCTGGGTAGCGTTACTTGTTTAGGTGATCAGTGTAGTGTTTGCTTCCCAAGAATGTAAATTTTGAGTAGCTTGATTTGTTTTCTCTAATACTCTTGAGGTATGTTTGGTTTCAAAGCAGAACCTTGATGCAATGTCTCCAGAGAAAACTCAAGAAACCACAGATTGTTTGCCAGAAGGACAAAGCATAACTGAAGTTACTCAACCTGATGACCCTGTAACAATGGCTTCAACGAACGAGCAGGAGGAGAACGAGTCCATTAGAGATACTTCTGTGATTGTACCTGAGATTCTAACTGCTTCTGATTGCCAAGAGAGAGTACAGTCGCCGGAAGCTCAGATTTCCGACATAATGATGCCACAGGCTTCAGAGGAAGATGTCCCCTCAATGTTTCCAGAAGCTGCCTCCATAGAGTTACCTTTGAATGTAACGATGGCTTCAACGAACGAGCAGGAGGAGAACGAGTCCATTAGAGATACTTCTGTGACCGTACCTGAGGTCTTGACTGCTTCTGGTTGCCAAGAGAGAGTACAGTCTCCGGAAGCTCGTGTTTCCGACATACTGATGCCACAGGCTACTTATGAAGGTGTCTCCACAGAGTTACCTTTGAACAGAGAAGAAAACAGTAGAACAAGTCATGATGCTGTTACCATTTTGGACCAAGAGATGCCTCGACAGTTGGCGTATTTCTCCGTCGACCCTTCCTCTACATTAGAAATTGAAGATTCTGAAGCTGCTACATCAGATCAGGTTACTACATACTGTCTCAAAGACTGTTTCTTTTTTTTTGGTTGCCTTAAAGTTTTCAGATCTTTGTAAATGTTCCTTCTTGATTTTCTTTCTACAGGGTATTATTGCCCAGGTTACATGTTCTCACCCATCTTCACCAGCTTCTTTAGGTCAGGATCTGTACACAGATAGTGATCGCCATTTGCTTTAATTATAATTAGTGTTTACTATAATGTTAATACTTTGTTTGCGTTGTGACAGTTTCTGTAGTTGACCATTCAGAGGATGTTCAAGAAGATGTTGTTCATCCTCCAAACAATCCTACGGGACAGAATCCTCTGAAGCATTTGTTCATCGATCCATTTGACTACGAAATTGAGAAGCTGCGTATAGAAGAAGAGAACGTGAACAAGAACTTTGAAGAAAAGGTTTTTAGCTTCTCCTAACTCTCCTCGAATCTTGATCTATATTAAGTTTTTTCGTTCCTCTCTTTGCTCATTGAACTCGTTTCCTTTGTGATCAGACATCAGAACTGATGTCAGAACTCGAGAGGAAGATGGCTGAAATACAGAGCGAGTATGATAAGGCATCACAAGAGTTAGACGCTAAGTATAACGCTGAAGCAATGGAGAATGAAGCATATAAGAGTATAGTTGAAATGAGCAGTCTCTTGGCTAATGCTTTCGTGTCTAAATGTGCAGAAGTGAGTCCACCCAAATGCTCTGATCGTGAAGCTTTAAGAGGTAATAAAAGTTGAATAGCTTGGGTTAATCGAAATTTGGGATGAAGCAAGATGAATCTTTAACTCTACACTCTTCTCTTTGTTGCAGAAATAATCTCTGAATATCATAGTTTGCAGCAGGAAGAAGCGCAAAGAATCTCACGTCTGAACTCAACCGCTCCTCCTCGACCTTCAGCCACAGCAGCGGAAGCTCGAGTCCCAAATCCATCAGCTCCTCTTTCGAATCCCCCGCGCTGCACCACGGCTCAACCAAGGCCAGTATCTCAGCAAGTAGCAGTTCAAGCAACCACACATTTGAGTTCTACGGCTCCTCCTCGAGCTTCAGTCTCAGCATCGGAAGCTCGAGTCCCGAATCCATCAGCTCCTCTTTCGAATCTCCCTGGCTGCACCACGGCTCAACCAAGGCCAGTATCTCAGCAAGGAGCAGTTCAAGCAACCACACATTTGAGTTCTACAGCTCCTCCTCGAGCTTCAACCACGGCATCAGAAGCTCGAGTACCGAATCCATCAGCTCCTCTTTCGAATTCCCCTCGCTGCACCACGGCTCAACCGAGGCCAGTATCTCAGCAAGTAGAAGTGCAAGCAACCACACATTTGACTTCAACCGCTCCTCCTCGAGCTTCAGCCACAGCAGCGGAAGCTCGAGTCCCGAATCCATCAGCTCCTCTTTTGAATCTCCCGCGCTGCGCCACGGCTCAACCGAGGCCAGTATCTCAGCAATTAGCAGTTCAAGCAACCACACATTTGAGTTCTACAGCTCCTTCTCGACCGTCAGTCACACCAGAAGCTCTTTCTTTGCACTCATCGCGGCGTGTTCAGCCGAGACCGCCGCCTCCTGTGATCTCCAACCTAACTCCTTCTACGGCAGCTTCTTCACCGCTTTTGCACGGTACAGTGCGTGCCCCGGCGCCTCACATGAAGCCGTTTCGAGCATCTCGAGATCCCATCTCTGCTGATGCATCAACGAAGAAACCAAAGTTGGTTGAAGAACAGCAACAGCAACAAGGGAACTCTGACGGTGGCTTGGTCTATCTTTCAGATGACGAGTGATATGTCATTTGGAGTATTTAACTGATATATATATATATATAGCTTTTATACAGTCTCTTAAGGGTATATATATATTATTGAAGCCCTTAAAACTTTTGAGAATGACTTTTGTCTAGTACTCTTTAGAAAAAGGGACTGGTACTTTTGGAAATGTGTACTGGAACATAGATTGCTCTATGACTTCAAGACCAAGGGAATGAGGAGGAATAATGAATTCTTCTTTATTTTTTAAAATTTTTACCATTTACTAGTAATAATATTTCTTCATCATTCCTTCTTATTCCTTATCATATAAGGAATTATAGAACAAATGTATTCTTTATTAAAATTGAGGAGGAACAAAATATATATATATATATATATTTATTTCTTTATATATTTTTTATTCTTATTCATTCTTTTTCTTTTGTTTCTTTTATTCTTTTCATTTTTATTCATGTTCCTTTTTTATTGGTCATCAATTAAAGCCTATGTGTTTTGAGTTTAAAATGATAATTATTCTGTGGACAGTCTTATGTATAGAGGTCATTTAAAAAACTTTGAAAGTTTTTTATTGTTAATAATGATGGAAAGGCAGAAACAAAAAAAGATGAGTGACAATTTTCAAGAGGTTTTCAAGAATCTCCAACTACTTGGAAACAAATGAAACTACCATGACTTAGATTGCTAGTTTTACAAGTTTTTAGAATTCAAGCTATTAAGAAGTATAATATTTACGTATTGTTATATTTGACAAACAACTTTCTCTGAATATTGTACCCACGGTTATGCAGTTGTATATTGCTAATCCTAGCAAATGAATACAGGGAAGAAATGTATTGTATAAATTACTTACTTTAACAATTACGCATCATAAGGTTGTAGTATGACTCTTCAAATCCATTGTGTGAATACTAATCACTCTTACAGCATTGTGTTATTTATACAATACCTGCAATGAGACAACCATTACAAACTTTAAAAATGAACAAATTTTAAACAACATTTAGAGAAGTAAACTCATTGCTCTTCCAAGAATCAGTTGACAACTTGACATGTGAACATATAAGGCATCATGTAATGAGTTTACTTAATGAATTAAAAAAAAAAATTCTGCATAATCAACTTCAAGTTTTACTACAATGAGTTGTTTAGTTTACCTGTAATGTGTTTTAGAATGCTTGTGTATGTAGATATACTGAAGCAGCTGGACTGAATAACAAGAATCGATTATGGAGATCAAGAAAAAAAGTATAGAAGAATCAATTATTTTGTTATATATGTGTTCATATATATATATATATATATATATATATATATATCTCATATATATATTGTTTCATATTAACAACTAGCTTAACCATTTTATTGAGATGTTGAATTATAGAGAGAGGCATTAAGTCGTATTCCCTAAAATTAGATGAAATCAAATTTGTAAACATCAATATCAATAACATTGAAATCAAATTACAAAATTTTCTAATTTTATAGTTTTCAGTTCTTCTTTTGAGAAATTACAGAAAATTAACAACCAACAAAAATCTCAAACAACTTTCATATGTACTTAAAAGATGGGAAAATCTACACTATTTAAGTTATTGTTATCTACAGATTTTCGATAAACCGATTAAACGTATGATTATAGAATCAAAAGAAGTATTAAATCAGAAAGATCTCAAAAAAAATTATGAAATTGAATCGGTACCTTGATAGTTTTCATTTAAAAGTTGTCGAAATCTGCAAAGGAAATTATAACCTACAACGATCTATCAAATTCAAGTGACATCGATTTCAAATATTGATTCGGCTAAAGAGTTTTAAAGATTGGAAAGCTCGATTTTAAACAGTGTTTCGACAGATAAGTTTTAGAGATTTCAAAAGATTGAATCGTATCTGAAATTTAATATAAGAAAATGAAATCCTTTTTTTCTTAATTTGTCAAAACTATTTATTTGGAATTAATAAAAAAGGGATTTGAACCACACAAAAATGATTTCATTATTATTATTGAAATTATTCTGAAATTCAATATAAGAAAATGAAATCCATTTATCTGAGCCATTTTCTGAAATTCAATATAAGAAAATGAAATTCATTTATTTGAACCACACAAAAATGTTTCTTTATTTTATTAAAACTATTTTGTATATGCATGTCTTTTTATTTTATCAGATTTATAATTTACATTTCAATTTTCAGTTGGTAAACATTATATCTACTGTTCGGAAGCAAATTTCGAGATATCACGTGGGAGTGTATGATTTGTCGGGGAAATGGAGCTGTGTCTCCAAGTTTCGTCCTCTCGGAGGAAAGACGGCGAGTCGTTCCAGGGCGAAAGCTTCTGATCCCGGGATGATGGGGTGAACGCTTCACTCCATCCTGTAAACACTCAAAAAAAGGTCATATGAGCCTCCAGGAGGACCGAAAGGGAGTTTTCCTCCCGAAGGCTCTCCGACGCCCAAGTCAATGTACATCATACTGGGAACAAGTACTCGGAAGGGGGGAATTCTACGGGTTAGTGGTGAGAAGTCCTGTTTGGGGATCGAGGCTGCTATCTGTTTTCGGGTGTTTCGAAGGGATTTCTACACGATAAATGAAGACGGAGCGAATATAAAGGCAAGCTTACGGGTTAGAGACGACTCAACCTGATGGGCATTCACCCGGGAAGAACTCTGAGTTCACCTGTGATCATGCTGCTTGCCTGGACCGACTGACTCAGACACGAGCAGATACCTCCTCCCTTAGAAGGGTTTTTTTTTTTCTCCTCTGCCCCCCCCCCCCCCCCCCCCCCCCCCCCCCCACTCTTCTCTGTATAGTGACCTCCTCTTATTTATACTCGCAGCCTCCTCTTCCTGTCTTTTCCATTCGGCGTGCTAGGGAGGCAGGTGAAGATAATGATTCTAGTGTGTTTGGAGAAGTTCGCCAACTGCCCCAGAACAGTATGCGGGAGTGGGTTGGCCGACCTAGTGTAGCGTGTGTCAGCGTCTAGCAGAGTCTACGTCCACATGTCAGGTTCTATTTTGACCCGGTAAAATGGGTCACAACAGTTGCTCCCGACTTCTCGGCTGATCTGAAGATGAGTCGTGAAGTCGAATCCTCCTTGATTCCCTGTAAAACGAACACATGTTATCCGGTTCCCTAGGTGACCTGCCACTTAAAGGCCAGATAGATGCTACGATCGCGTCGTGTATCGCAGGGGATACATAACTTGTCTAGGCGAAGCTAAGTTATAAATGATAGCAAAAGTTTGGGAAATCATCGAGGCTGTGCTACGCATCCTGGAAGAGTATGGTACTAGCTGGATGGTCCGGACTTCCAAGGAAGTTAGATGTGAAATTGAGTTCGACTTTGGTGCGTACTACGAAGGAGTACGTCCTTCGTCGAAGGGGTAGTCCGAAGTGGACTCTCAACCCCAACCTTATTCGTTTGTCCCGTTGGAGCATGTTATTAGTCGAGGGAATTTTTTTCCGAGGAAGCGAGCCGTAGGACAACTCTTATTAGATGTCAACTCTGACCTTATTCGCATATGAGGGAGTACGTTATTGATCAGAAGAATCACGCTTCCGGAGGAAACGAACCATGAGACGGTCAGACTAGATACATATAGAGAGACTCGCCCAGTCTACGTTACGCATCCGGTGGAGTACGCCGTTCGGCCTGGGAAAATAGATGATGGAGTCCTATCCTGACTGGGGCGTGCATCCGGGGAAGTGTGACGCTTGCTCATGATAGGAGGATAGGCATTTCCGGGGGAACTGATAGCTTTACCACTGGTGGACATCTCCGCGGAGGGATTTTACTTCTTGATTCGTGAGGCACTAGACAAGAAGCCGTCTTGCCCCCGCTCATCGGGGTCATGAGTGAGGTTATAGTCTTGTGTGACCATGGGGATTGACACAAGGTAACGAAGCGGGCTAAGACACCGGTCCAACGGTCAGAGGTGGCACTATTGGACGGATGAATAGATGTTCTCTACGTTGCGGGACGCTAACGCAAAGGGGAAGTCTCTACTCGAATGCAGCTGGTGCGGAGTAGGGCGTTTCCCGAGGGTGTTACCTTGACTCCCTTACTGCCTGGACAGTCTTTGCATTGTGCTTACGCGGAAGCTTCTGGGTTTTGAGAACGTGCTTGTGACATTCCCCGAAGGGGAAGTGGTCGAGAATTTATCAGAAACATAAAGCCTGCGAGTCGGCGACCTGAATTCCTGTGGTGTCTGAGTGGCAAACGCGTCCTGGTGAAGAGTATACTGATTTATCGCTCGGCCAACTGGAGGGGATTGGCGGGGAAGATCCGGAGATCTGAGGGGTCTGATCCCTAGGATTCCATGGGGATAATGTCCCGGGGGGCGAGTAAGTTTGCGGGGAATCATGCTTAGGGTGTGCACGGTCCGCAAGGAGAGCTGGCACGGGGTAAGCTACTGGGGCCTACTGGACCAGAGTCCTGAATTCCCAGAGGAATGGTGTCCTGGGGGACGAGCAAGTCCGCAGAGGAGCATACTAAGAAAAGTAAAATTCGAAGGAGATTATAGGTATGACAGAGGAGAAGAATTACTTGGTTGGTGTGCGGGCGGGATGTGTGATCGGACGAGCAAGTGGTTGTTCGATTATGCCGAGAAACATCGTGCACTCGCACAAGCAATGAGCCGAATTATTTAAACAAGAAATCAAGCAATCAATAAAGCAAGAAATCAAGCAATCAAGCAAGCAAAGAATCATGCAATCAGGCAAGCAAGAAGTCAAGCAATCAAGCAAGAAAGAAATCAAGCAAGACCTCAGTGGTCGAGACCATGTTTGTCTACGGTTATGGATACCGTAAAACCCGTCGCGGGGCGCGTTTGCGGTTATCCTGCTCGGGTGCGAAATTCATATTGTCGCAACTGTTTGTTAATTGATCTTTTAAGACCTTCGGTAAGGTCGGTGGTCTCCCTTCGAATGTTCCTGCGCAAATCTCTAGATTTTGGCGAGTGTGGTCCAGGTGGCGAGCCCTTGGTGGTTCGAATCGCAGCGCGTCACTTCATGCAACGTGCGCCGCTTCTCCGACAGACACCGATCACCTTCTCTGCTGTGACAGACTCCTTTTCTCTCTCCGCATTAAATGCGCATCACTTCCCATGCACGACTCGAGAGACTAATAATTATTAGTCCTCCACTGACTTTTGAATTTCCCGACCGACGCGATTCCTCTCGCGTGCCTCTTCGATTTCTTCTTCTTCTATAAAATCGGAAAGTTCGCAGTTCTGCGGATTCACTCCATTTTCGAAGCAAACCCTAGAACTCTCTCTTCTCAAATTTTC